GCCAAACAACGATGGCTGCAACCAAAAAAATAAATAAATAAATAAATATATGTTTATAACAATCAACTAAAAAGGTCCATGGAAGACAAAAAGAACTCTATATATGATATATACAAACACACTGTTATAAAAAACATTTTTTTTTGAGACAGAGTTTCACTTTGTCACCCTCAGTAGAGTGCTGTGGCATCATAGCTCACAGCAACCTCAAACTCTTGGGCTCAAATGATTCTCTTGCCTCAGCCTCCAAGAAGAGGGGACAATAGGCACCTGTCACAATACCCAGCTATTTTTAGCGATAAGGTCTCCTTCTTTCTCAGGCTAATCTCAAGCCCATGAGCTCAAGCAATTCACCTGCCTTGGCTTCCCAGAGTGCTAGGATTGCAAGTGGGAGCCACTGCACCCAGCCATAAAACAGTTTAAAACAATTGCAAGAAGAATACAGATTATCTGCAAAAGACAGACAGGTAACTTCTCAATAGCAAAGATGGAAGCCATAAGAAAGTGGTAGGATATGATCAGCATGGTTAAAAAGAAAAGAATTTCCCATCTAGAATTTTAAACCCTCAGAAAATATGGAAAAAATAAAGATAAATTACAACAGACAAAATTACAACTGACTTTTGAAAGTCAGTCACCAACCAATCCTCATTAAAGGAAATTCTAAAATGTGTTTCAGGCCATACAAAAGTAATCCCAAATAGGTGATTTGAGAAAGAGGGGAAAAAGGTAAATATGTAAGAAAATATGAATTAATAGTGACATGAAACAAAACAATAACACCTTGGAAGGTTAAAGGGTAAAACTAAAAAGTATCAAAACAATAGCCTCAAAGTAAAATGGAAGGCAAAAAGAATTCAAATACTCTAAGTTCTTGGTATCTTATAGGAGGAGGGAAACATAACTTTAGACTTCAATAAGTTTTGGTGTGCATTTTTTAAGTTCTAAGCTGACAACTAAATGAATACAAACAGAATGTAAAATTTTTATGACTATTGGAAAAACATATAATTGTAAAAAATATAATTAACATTCTACAGAAAACCGGCTGAGCTTCAGCCTCAGCACCTGTGGCTCAGCCAGCTGCATACACCGAGGCTGGCGAATTCAAGCCTGGCCCGGGCCTGCTAAACAACAATGGCAACTGCAGCAAAAAATAGCCAGGTGTTGTGGCAGGCACCTGTAGTCTCAGCTACTCGGGAGGCTGAGGCAAGAGAATCACTTGAGCCCAAGAGTTTGAGGTTGAAGTGAGCTATGATGCCATAGCACTCTACCAAGGCTGACAGAATGAGCCTCTGTCTCAAAAAAAGAAAGAAAGAGAGAAAGAAAAGAATAAGAAATACTAAAAGGACTCCTTCAAGCTAAGTAACAGCGTAAAATTATAAAACTCACTGGTAAAAAAAGTAAGCATACAAACTGAGAACACTCCTACTATAATGGTGGTATGAAAATCATATTTCAAGTATAAAAGTTAAAAGACAAAATTATTACAAACAACTATAACTAACAATTTTTTAAAGCACACAAAATATAAAAAATATAAAACTGAGGGTGCATGGAGTAAGTGTAGAGTTTGTTCTAGTGATCAAAGTTAAGTTGTTATCCATTTAAAATAACCTGTTATTAATATAAGATATTTTATGTAAGCTCTCTGGTAACCACAAAAGAAAAACCTCTGGAGATAAACAAAAGATAAAAGGAAATAATTCAGAGTGTCTCACTACAAAAAATCAATATAAATAGTCACATTGATACAAAAAAGAAAAAATCTTGTCATCCCAAGAGATGTAGGAAAAATATTTGGTAAAATGCAACATTCACTCATGACTTAAAGAAAAAAATCTTAGCAATGTAGGAATAATTTCCTAACCTACTGAAGGGTATCTACCAAAAAATATCACACTTAATAGTGAAGTGTGGCAAGCTTTCCTTTTAAAATCAAGAATAA